CGCTCCGAAACCTTGCAAGAGGTTCGCGGATGAGGGGGGCGGTCCGTGTTCGAAGCGTGGCTCTCGCCCCAACGCCGCGCACACTGGCTTTGAGAGGTTGCCATAGCTTTACCGATGGAGGGCGGCTCATTTTCAGAATGTGGTTCTCGCCTTAGTGCCGCGCACTTAGTCAAGAGTTTGCAACAGCTTCACAAGTTCTCATGGCTAGCGTCCCAAACATGGCGCTTTGGCAAGATGTCGGAATGTCAGGGCGCAACAACCGCGTGGCGTTTTAGTCCGAAGAATGGCGTTTTGGCAGGGTGAATCGCGGCGTTGAAATCAAAGGGATGGCGTTCTGACACAATTCCAAATTTTCACATGGTTGGCTTCCAACGAGGCATGTCTCTCCGTGAAATTGAATGCGTGCAGGAACCGATGTAGAAAAAGCTAAGAGGGAAGGACTATTGCAGTATCGTTGATGAGCCTTGGGTTTACACTGGTCCTCCTGCCTCCCCCAACTCCCTCCGCCTCGCCATCCCTCTCACCACATCGCCTCCCCCCATCTTGTACCTTGTCCCTCAAAAGTCGCCACAAAAATTTCTCGTGGTATCCGTTTCGGCTGGAATCGCAAGGGCCACCCAACCGAATTGGCGAGAGGCCCCCCACGACAATGGACACTCAAGTGCATCATACGCCGATGGGCGCCACGGGGTGGGATCAAACATCGCTGAAACACATTGGTTTGTGCAATCAGAATGACACACTGCATCGCTACACTGAAAACTCTATGAACGCGTCGTCTCCGTCACTCACGAAGCTGTCACGGCAACGTGAGCAAGAACAAACGATTCCTGATTCGGGGTGGGCAGATCGCAAGATGTCGCAAGATCCTGCGCTGGCTGTTCTCGGTTTGCTCCAGGCCCGAAGATCGCCCGTCCCGGCGACGGACCCTGGTTTTTGGAAGCAGCCTTGGCGCTCGAAAGCGAGAGGTGGCCAACCCGGCGCAGTACCGATACTTCTTGTTCTTGTTCTCCCCTCTCTCACTCACCCACCCGTCCACCACCAGCGCCCCTGAGCGTCGCGCCGGGCCGCGGGGCAGCTCGGCAGGTTGAGGCCGAAGGTGAACGAGCACAGGTGCCAGAAATGGCGTAAAACTGCGACACCGCAACAGCGAAGCGCAGCAGATCTACCACCAGCGACCAACGCCCGTTACCTTCGGAGTGCCTGCGGAGCCGCACCGCCTGCCCTGCGTGTCGACGTGTGCATTTGTGCCCAGAACCCCTGGGCGCCAGCGCGCCAGCCGCAGAATGCGAGCGAGACCTCGTCGGGACGGGATGGACCGCAAAACCAACGGGAGCAGCTCTTTGAGAGCATCAGCGGCCATCCGCGACGTAGCCAACTCTTCCGAGAGCACATGCCAGCAGTCGCACCAAGCTGAGGGACGCCAGCGAGACAGACGCGCTACATGGTACAGATATATATGTATATACACACACAGAAATATCAGAGGAAGAGAGATAAAGAGAGAGGTACACGAAAGCTATGGTGAAGAGCGCAGCTGGGGGGAACACAGCCGGCCCACCCGTCAGGATGGCAGAAACGAGCCCCGGGCATCGCTGTTCAGCCCACCTGTCCTCTGTGGGCGCCTCATGCGGAACCCCACCTTTCGATCCACTTCCCCCGCCACTGCTGGAGAGAGCGCCATGGTCGTGGGCACACCATTCCGCCGTGGGTCGGTCTATCGCCCTCTCTCCAGCCGGTCGCCAACGAGGCGGGCAGCTCGGGCGAAATCGACGCCTTGGCAGACCACGTTCTTGTTTTTTCTGGCCGTGCCATTTTGGGTGCGGAAGTCAGCATGGTTAGTCGCTACTTCCACGAGGGCGCTCTGGTCTGCGTCCGGGCCGCGAGCAGGCTCGTGGCATCGGCGTAGGCGTTGGCGTCAGCCTGGGAGAGAAAACCCCGACAGCGGCCGAGGGGCCAGGCAAGGCGGGCCAGGCTGCTCCGTGCCAGGCAGGGGCATCTGGCTGGGCGCTGGCCTCGGCGCCGGTCTGCGGGCCTGGCTGGGCGCCTGCAGGCGTGCGGCCGAGCCGAGGCTTCCGGCTGAGGCCCGTGCCGGGTGCTCCCGGCACTGGGCTCGAGGACGGGCTGGGGGCCTGGCAGGGCGCCAGGCTCGGCGCCCCCGCGGGGGCCGTTCTCGGGGCCGGGCTCGTAGGCTCCGTCTGCAGGCCGGGAGCCAAACCTCGAGCCAACCAGGGAGCCCAGCTCGGAGCCAGGCTGGGCGGCGGGCACCGATCTGTCTCCCCGCTCGGGGAACACCGACATGGTGCCAACTGAAAGTCAAGCAGCCGTACGCTCAACGGCGCGCGGGCGAAGCAACGCATTGCACTGTACTACTGCCTGCTAGTGGCCGCTGCCTTCGGCAAGGCGCGTGGGCAGACGAATGCACGCTTGGTACCGCGTCGGAAGCGAGAAAGAAAACCGCATCACGACTGTGGCGCAGGACAACGGCACGCCCCACGAC